CTCCCTCAGTGGGATGGGGGAGAGAATCGGGAAGAAAATAAAAGGTTAGAGCCAAGGGCTGAGATAAAGACAGTTTAATAAGAGAAAATAATAATAATAGTAATAATGAGAATGATAACAGAATATACAGAATATACAAAACGAATGAGGCACAAGGCAATTGCTCACCACCCACCGACCGATGCCCAGCCCGTCCCGAGCCGCAAGCAGTCCCCGAGCAGCGAGCAGTCCCCGAGCCACGATCACTCTCCCCGCGACCAACTGACTGAACTAACCCTCCCGAGCATGACGTTATATGGTATGGAATAGCTCTTTGGTCAGTTTGGGTTAGCTGTGCTAGCTGTGCTGTACTCCCAGCTTGTTATGCACCTGGCCGAGCAGGAGAAGCTCAAAAAGTCCTTGAGTAGTCTGAGCACTACTTGGCAACAACTGAAAACATCAGCAAGTTATCAACATTCTTCTGGTACTAAATCCAAAACACAGCACTATGCTAGCTACTGTGAAGAAGATTAACTCTATCCCAGCCGAAACCAGGACATTGAAATTAAAAGCTTTGAAGATGCAAATTTATCTGTTCTTCTTTTAATTTGAATGGAAGCAACCTGCAATAACCAATGCAAGATTCAAGGACAAGCGCACTTCTTCACTGAAATCCAAATGATAATTGCATAGCACATAGTCTCCTGTTGGATTCATGATTAACTGATAAAGAAATCTGGTATTTGTGACATACAGGATTAAGTGGATTCTACACATTCTTGCAAGTATTTTGCTGTCCAGTCCAAATACAGAAAGTTAAGATTTTCTACAATGCCAATACTCTGTTGGTGTTTATTTTCTCAGTAATATCCCAAGTTCTCCAGCTGTATTCAAAACTGTTTCTGTGTTTTAGCGAACACAGAGCTTTAGAGCCTTTCTGTCTCTCCCTCACAAATAACCCTGAGCTGATCCATTGCATTTTACTGCCCATTTTTGCAAATCAACATGTACAGCAGCTCTAAACTGAGAAAGAAGATACTTTAAAAAATATGTTCTTAAAGAAAAGGTGAGTTCGATTTGATCTGTAATTCATCATTAGCTGTACATTAGCTGTACTCTTCTTTGGGGAAAATGTTGTATGTTCTATTAAATTCTTGGGTTTGGAAATAAAGTAATTCCTGAATTGCTCTGTGCTGCAGTATTAGCAAAGACAAATGCCAGAATTCATTGAGGTGAAAGGCAGATGGATGAGGTGGAACACAGACTGTATAGCTGCTTCCTTTGCTGAGGCATGAGACAAAACAGGAAGGGATATTGTTTTATTTTGCTAAACTCACTGACAATAGGAACATTCTTTAACTCTGATTACTTGGCAGATAAACACCAGCAAGCAGATCCAGGAGAGTCTTTCTTTGAGGTACAGTAAAAATAAAACATATTATTTTCATTTTGTAGTAGAAATGCGTAACCATAGCTGGTTGTATACCAAGGGTCATACCAGGAATCCACAGTTCAGTTACGAACTTACACCTGACTGAAAGATGGCCACAGCTGGTGGGAAACTTGTTTCAGTTAATAAAAAAGCTTTGAAACTGTAGGAATAAGCTTTTCATTTTCTAGTAATTGCTCTTGTGAGGTGTGGGAAGCTGGGAGGGTTTCAGTGCCTGTCAAAGCCTAATAGGTGGTAATTAATTTCAATCATTTGCCTGCCCTGCTGAAATTAATATATACATTATGTACATTAAAGTAGTCAAGGATGTAGTGCACTGCACTGATTTTTCTGCCTTTTTTTTTAAATTCATCAGTGCCCAGAGGCTTTTTTCTCTATTTAAGGTAATGAGGCAGCAGGATTAGAGTCCACATAACATATTCTTAGTTTGTTACCAAGGTAATCAATACTAAGCTACACTATTCATCAAAGAGAGAAAGGCAGTGGAACAAAACTACATACGCTTTATTCTTCAAGGCAAAAACAAAGTGTAAAGCGTATTTGCCATGGGGTTGATGCTTTTGTGTAGCAACAGTTTGAAGACAGAATGGAATCAGAGCAAATGCATGAGGGAATAATACAAATTTCAGACTGTATTTTCCTTTCTGCCAACTCACAAAGAATGTGTTTGCTGTTGGAACCAAAACTACCATGGCAGTAGTTGATAAACTTCTGCTTATTCTGCCTTTCAAAAGCAGTAGAGGAAACGTGCAAATAAAGCAAAGTGCTCGGTATCTGATTTTGTGGGCAATTAAGTCACTGTAGCAAGTTAAATTTGTGTGCTTAAAATGTATACATTAATCAGGAAATTTCAGAATGATGTAACACTACAGCTAACTGATCCATGTGCTTCTTGCAAGAAACCAAAATTCATATCCAAGTTAGTGATATTCAAGATCATGCACACACGTATGAATTTTGGGAAGATGTAAGAGAATGCTTGTGCCCAGGCAGGAAAGAAACACTTTTTTGGTACCTGAAATCAGAGAACAAGTGATACTGTTCTGATGTCTCATACTTTTAAGGATCTGTTTGATTGGATACATGGAAACCAGGATGAGATATTAAACTAAGCTTTAACAGCAAGAAAGGCAATTTACTAAGTGTCTGTCCACCCTTGTATTACAAGCATACGTATCAAAGAAAAGAGTAGCAAGGTTTTCTAGTGAGTTCTTGTTACTTTCAATCATCACTCAGCATTAGAAATAAAACCAGAAATCAGTTTTTTATGTAAGTCAATTTATTGGTTCTCTGAAGACACAAAAGCTGTTATTTCAAGTGCAGGCAACTAATCTTGTTTTATTGCCCCAATAACAAGAGATTAAAACATCACAGTCAATGGCTTTTAGGTAGAAAGACTCAAACTCTTGTCTCAGTTATTTGTGTTGAAATTTTCTGAACACCAAGATCAACTGCATATGGATATGAGAAGAAATTTTACACGTAAGACATAGTACAGTAGAAAAAAAATGTTGCTTATGAGCTTTTTGTAGAAACATTTTTATGTGTTGAGAAGATGTACAGATTCAGGAGTTTAAAGGTTTAAGAGACTCAATACCGTTGCAAGTCCTGCACTCGTAATACCAAAAGTTGATCTTCTGATAAGATTAAGCCAATGCCAAAACATCTGTAAACAGGATTCAATCAATACTTTAGTTTCTGCTGACATGAACTTGGTTTTTAAAATGAAACTGCTTTATACTAAGCAAAATACACTTCTAATAAACTGAAATACTAATTCTCAGTGGGAATGCAGCAATTTTTCGAACATTAAAAGAAGGGATCAAACTCTGCCCTCCATTCCATTCCAGAATTCTCACTGAATTGTACTAGTAATAACAGCAGAATTTGTCCAAAGTTGCCCATTCATTACTTTCCTGTTGGAGCACCATTTTTCTAGTAAAGGTGAAAAGTGAAATAGTGAAGGAGAACTGGGCAATGCCTATTCTAGCCATTTGTAACCCTGTTTTTTTCAGGCTTTGACATATCCCTCATAAATGCTGTGAACACATTTGTGGCAACACCTCCAGAAGAACGCCCTCTGCCACCTACTGATGAGTTAGAGGAAAACAGAGACTCCAGAAGCTTCATTTGCAGGAGGCTTTACGCACCACCTTTGACCACCCAATCTCCTGTATGTTCAATACTGAATAATCATGCCGATGGTGAATGTAACATAGCAGATCTTTACTCACATAGTCTGCATGTGGGTTCAACCTAGATGGTACTTGTGTAATGCCGTTTAGGAAGCATGCTGTAATGATGAAGTTTACGGGATGAAGAAGAGGGGAAGATGATTTAGAAGTTTCTGTCTGCCAGTGATTCCCTGCTGGGATCATATGTGCGAGCTGATGTGCCTCCCCAGAAAGTAAACAGAGCTAAACAGACTCCACTTAAGAGTCTGTAACTATACAGAGTCACGATAAACAAACACTTAGGTGGCTTAACCTGGATTTTTCAGTAGTGGGGAAGACAAATGACACGTATGAGTCACCCACAAAGGCCCTCTCCATGTGCAACACAATCCCTAATAGGTGAAATCATTAATATGCAGACTAAGACGTCAAAAATAAAAAACCAGGCAGAGTATCAAAACTAAAAATCCTGGGAAGTAACATGACACCCCTCAGCAATACTAAAGCTGCGATACTAAACACAAGGCAACAAGATACCCGCAGCACTCTACAGCTGGATGGGTGAAGTAAGAGCAGCAGTGAAAGAAGGAAAGATCAATGGGCAGCAGCAGGACATGGCACAGACAGCAAATCATAGAATCATAGAATGTTTAGGGTTGGAAGGGACCCCTAGAGGTCATCTAGTCCAACCCCCTGCAGTGAGCAGGGACACCGCTAACTAGATCAGGTTGCTCAGAGCCCCATCCAACCTGGCCTTGAATGTTTCCAAATGCTGAAATGACAGCAGAGGTAACTTTTCTCCTTCACACACAGAAGCTGAGCATGCCTGACTGTATTCCCAGAATACTAATCTAATCTTGGACAGCAAACTATGGACAAGAGAGGCAAAGAAAAATCTGGTATGTTAAAGAGGAACTTATGCTTCAGATGTTCACACTGGAGGTGGGATATCTGAGGAACACCACTACTAGAGATGCTGTAGGAGCAGGAATTTTACCTCCTGTTCATGTACTGTTGACCCACTGTAATTTCTGCTTTCCTGAACTACGGGTTCATTTTTCTGCCTTTACTACATTTCCTTTGAAATTAATTTTAAGTATTGAAACTGAGCCCATTTTCCTTCCAAGACCACATGGCAGAGAAGTGACACTATCACAAATGCGGAGTCATTTGTGGTCAAGAATGACATGTATCTCACATTTCCTTATTAAGGTTAGTATTTGCATACAGTATTTTTTTTCTGCTTTCAAAATCAGATTCAGTTTTATCACTCAGAATTTCAAGCTGAGAAACACAGATCTGGATCAAGAGGAAAAGCAGTAAGACAGCAAAAACTAACTACACTTTGGGATGCAGGGATTTTCTCACTCGGGTTCAGCCAAGTGAGACTGGAGACTTCACTTGAACGAGGCTCTCACTATCCTGCCATTCACAGGCTGAGGTGGGCGCCAGTTATCAACCAGCGGGTTCACAGGTTCATTCTCACTGTTCTTGGAAAGGCTACGGAGCTTCGCCATCTGCAAATTAGAAAAATTAAAGTGTCCATGTGAATTCACCTGGAAGCAGTGTGGACCTTGATGCCTAGAACAAACTCTGAGACAGAAGAGGAATTTTCTTATATAATGACAAGCACACTGGTAGAGATTATTGGTAGAGATCACCGCAGCCCAACAGCTAGCACTGTTTTTGTGGATCTTCACATTCTTCATCCACAGAACAGTGCATCATCTGACCCTTGCCTGAGCTGCTTTTGGATTTTTCCCTGACCCATGCTCAAAAGGCAGAAAAAGAGTAGGGGCCTCCTGTGACCCTGCTGGAGCTGGACTGCAGTCAAATCATGTGTGAAAATATGGCTACCCATGAAGGGGGATGCACGTCTAAGTCTATGCAAGGTAGGCTGATAGAAAAAGCTGGTCTGCAGAAGTACCTATGTTGTTCTGCGAGGCAGAGAAATGTATGCCAACTGGGTTACTAAGTTCAATCATGAATTCAGCACCTAGCCGTTGTTCTCCAAATTAACTTAAATTCAGTGTTGCTTTGTTGTTACCCTTGCATCAGAATGCAAAATAAATCTATTCTGAAAATGGCCAAATCAGTAAAAAGGCTATAGCCTGACTTGTACTGCTGAAGCAGAAAATAGTATAAAAACCCAAAAGTTTTAACACAAGAACTAAAAAGAAGGTCTCCTTATCCAGACTGGCTCTCTATTCTTTTTCTTGTGTAAATGTACATTTGAGCTATATGAATACAGTTAGTACATTCATTTGTATTAACATTCAAGCTTGCAGGTTCTAGCTAGTTTGATCCTTCCCACTGACAGATTTTAAGAAGTCAAGATCTGAAGCAGCAATTTCTTAAACTGGGAAACCAGCTAAACTTTAGTCTCGCTTGCCACTTCACGCTGAAGCACAGAGAATGAACTGAGGCTGCTGTGATGGCTGAATTTTGTGGCTCGAGGGCATTTCTGCCTACCCACGTTTTCAGGATCCAAGAACACTCCTGCTAAAGCTATTCCAGGAGGTGTCTAGGAAGACAGCCTGATTCTCCAGGTCTGTTTTACAGTCCATTTCAACAGTCCATTCTGCAGGCAGTTTCTCACAGTTCTCAGCTAAAGCTTTCCTTATCAAAAAAGGCAAAGTAACATAGGGCTTGCAAATCATCACACTGACATACTGCTGAGAACTCGAAAAGGAGTAGAAGAACTAGGTGGAGTTTACCTGGTCTGAGCTGACTTCAATCGGCTCCCTCAAGAGAATCCAAGTGATGCACTCCTCACAGGGGGGCGTAGTGAACGAACCATGGTAGGTCCAGTAGTCCCGAGATTTGGGGAAAAGAATTGAAGGATCAAAGTGATGAAAAGGAGCCTCTTTCCCCTTAAGAGAAACAAAAAATAATCCTCTGCAGTAACTCTAGGGATATGCATCTTAAAAGACATCAGTATCTATGTTATTATAAAGGGAGTAATTAAATATAAGACTCATGCAAGAGATCAATCTCCTTTTCTTCCTGTCAAGCATTTGCCCTGCAATTAATAACTGACATTTTGATTCCATTAATAAATTAAAACAAATTACAAACTGAATTGTGTGGGATCAAAGCAAATTCATTGTTACATTTTTCTATTCTGGAATTATCAACATTTTTTTTTTAATTTTGAGTCACTTGGGAAAAGGCTGTGGCACTGCAGGTACTGGTACCCTTTTTATTCAATAGAACAGTGGCCAGGCATTTATCCCAGATTTATTACAGTCTTCTCCTCTATCTGGAAGAATTTAAACCTGCATGTCTTTCTCCTCCCAGAATTGTGCTCTAATTACATTGTCATGGTGACACTCCCAATCTTTTTGTTGGCACTATTACGCTTAATGCAAAAAATTAAAATATTTCCTGGAAGAGTACTGGATCCTGAATGTCTTACAGCTAGAGGCGATTATCACCAGACAAGAGAGAACAGCAGACACCAGACAACATTTCCTGAGTTTTTCTTTTCCACTGAATGGGATACTCAAGAGAGTATCTCCCACAGGAGTATGATGATACTTCCTTGTCCCCTCAGGGCAACAAGAACTAACCAAGAAAATTCAGTTCTCTACCGGTATTTAGGATGCAGTTCTGGAAAGCAAGATCTATTACTCCCAATTCCTTCTCCTATCATAGCGAATCTTCTCTAGATGGGAACAGGGTATTACCCCGCAAAGTGCAATGAGAGGAGCTGAAGCCTTTTCCACACATTCTTGCACAAAATACAGGTGGAAAGAGTAACATCAAGACTCCAAACATATCTTCCTGACAAAATTATTCTGTAAATTCAGTATGAGTTTGCAAATAACTTCAGACACAAAATCAGTCTTTTTCAGTAAATACAGTACAGCGTCCAAGAAACTCCTCTATGTGTAGCGTACCACAGCAATTGAAACTGCATGTGTGATAAATACACCGGGTAATACCATCCATTAATCTTTCCTGAAAAATAAGTAATCCTGGTAAAATGTACGTGATGACAGGAAAGAAAAAAAGTATAAGAGAGAAAATCCAAGATGTGGTGGTCTGCATATGTGCCTATCTTTCTCTGCTTTTCTTCAACTATTCCTTTTTTCAGAACCACTAGAGAGAACACCTGCATGTAGGAAACCAGACTTCTATTTTTTTGCTGTTAGAAGTCATCAAATCTCCAGTTAGGCAGTCTCAGATAGAATGTAATGGAGTGGATATCACTGCCATCTTGTCATCATTATATGACACAGTGCTTCATAGGGTGATCGATCAACTTTTTATTAACTGTGGAAAAGCTCTTCTGTGTGTAAATGGCCAAAAAAAAATAAATATAGGGATTATGAGAGAAAGCTGAATCTGTATCAAGACAGAGATCATTGACACAGCAGGGGGAGCAACAGGTAAGGCAAAAAGAAAGACCTTCAGTTCCCTCAGCAGAAATAACTGAATTGTATCCGAAGACTAAGAAAAGGTGGAAAAAATTAAATTAATGTGACTGAGTGAGAACAGATTTCAGGCTCAGACCCACAGATCAATGGCAGTACATACATAAATAAATGCAAGAAATTCTGCTAAATTTGCAGGAAAGTGCTTACAAAATTTATAAAATTAAGTCCTGGTGATCTGGTGCTATGTTCAATGTCAAGTAAGAAAAGGACTAGATGACCTCTAGGGGTTCCTTCCAACCCAAAACATTCTATGATTCTATGACTTCCAGCATCATTAGAATCATAGATCTTATCATGAAGTAGAATTTCTAAAGTATACCTGGGGGTTAGGTTTATGTTAAATAACAATGTTAAATAACAGTAGATGCAGTATCACAATTCTCTGCAAAGAACTCCTTCTACAGTTATATCTATGCAATAGGTATGGACTTTGGTCCTTAGATCATTAATTAAACTGAGGAACACTTCAGAGTAGGTTTGCAGTGCTATTTGTGCTGGTATCATAGGAAGACAGAACCTAGGACTGATGCAGAAACCGTACCATGTAATCCCTTTTATAAATGAATTCAGTTCCATCTTACAACTAAGTTTTTAATCTCTGTTACGCTGACTGGGAGCTTTCTCCATCATTCCTACCAGTTTCTTCTCATTTCAGGTTAACTAAATTTCTGACTTGATTATATGCATTTGTTTTGGCCACTTCTGTCCTCAAATTCAAAAAGCTTTTCCTTTCTTCTTGATAGGCACACTAGCATATTTTTACAGAGCAGTATTGATAAGACTATTAATTGTGCATGCAAGGATTGACACAAAATCCTCTACCAGAACACTTACAGAAGTGAGGAGTTACATATTTTCTTAAGTAAAAGAAAGTGTCTTGCTCCACAGTTTGATGTATCACCTCTGGTGCTACTGTTAGGCATCAGAATATTGCCAAAAAGAGTGAATCTGCACTTCTGATTTCTGCTTCTGCTGCTTTTCAACTACATTATATCACAAAAATAGTTTCGATACCTTGGTCTTAATGTTATCAATTTCTTCAAGAATTCTCTTCATCTCTGGTTTGGGAGTTTTTCCAACCTGTAATGCAAAGCACAAGTACTGTATTTTTTCATCGTGTTCCACAGTATTTGAAAGAAATTCAGCACATCCCATCTGCCAAGTTAGGCAGCAGTACTCTCAGAGCATCCACTACAGACTGAGAGAAAACTATGAGTGGTAAAAGAACATCTGGAATAGCAGACTCAAGTAACTCGCTTTGCGATTAAAAAATGTGTTGAAATATTCTACAAGATACCTCCCACTGCCTGGGGAACAAACTGCTCACTCAGACAGCATCATCTACCAGCCTAGCCCTTGGCTCCTGGTTTGAAAGCAACCCACACCCGCTGTCAAGTGTATGAGCACTCAGCAAAGTGCTGATAGTCTGAACAGCTGGAGTTCCTGCAGACACTTCAAGCACTCTGCAGCACATACACGGTCAGATCAGACTTGATGTAAGACATATGATGAGATTCATGTCATGGCCTCCTCAGGCTATGGGGTCACTTTATTCATTGTCTTCATGATGTTCAGCACCTCCAAAAACTTTGATGTGGCTCTGCATCCCAGAAGAGTAAAGATAGCATGCATAAGACACGCCATTACTGCCACATCTTGTTCCAAAACAGATTAAATTCAATTCTTCAGGCGACAATTCAATCTCTGTTTTAGCAATACCGAAGAAGCCAGTCATGGAGTATGTATGACACACTCAGAGCAAAACAACAGCTCCTATGCCCGTGAGCAAGAAGGAAACAGGGAAAGGCAGACAGAGACAATACAGTGATACCACTTACTTTTCCAGACCTTTTAGCATGGTTTATAGGAACATAACGTTATACTATAGAAGTTGGTGTTTTAGAAGATAAAGCTTTAGCCTAAAATAGACCAGAAGAAACAGACCAAAAGAAAGGAAGAATAGTTGAAGGACATAGCCATAGAGGAGAATCTGGACAGGTGCTGACTTTCTGTCACTTTCAGTTTAAACTAACCACAAGAAAAAAGGTCAGGCTGGCTCACAGTGTAATAGAATCAAAATGACGCTGGATCTAGCCTGTCCAGGGACACTGTGGCAAAATGAATTACATCCACTTCCTATTGCTTGTACAAATGCAGCTTACTCGTGATAAAGCAATAAAAGGAGAACTATTCTCTGACACTGTGTTAAAGCTGAAATGCCCACCTGCAGGTAAAATGACAGCCGCGTAACTGAAGTTTGCATATTTTATCACTATTAGATTGTCTGCCTGTTAGCGTTTCTCAGTGTCGTAGACCACATGCAGATTTGATAGTAGGATTGCTTTCTTTCTGTTAAGTTTATATAAAAATCAATTGGAAAATATCGGTACAGTTATTATTTTGTTATGAAGCTGCTGTATTTCAAGGTTAAAATGTTCAGTGAACCTCTTTTACCATCAATTCTTTCAAGTACTTGGGTCTTTTTGGAGCAAGTTCATTGATCTCCTTTTGATTCCCAGCTCACGTGGGGATCAGCAAGAGACCAAGGATGGGAATCTGTCAACATAACCTTGCTGACAGGTAGATACAATACCTGCTAGCAGACAAAGGGCAGGAGGAAACACTCTTCCTATGCCGACTGTCCTCCTCACTCAGTACACAGCACAGCACAGAGCTGGTCAGCTATCAGGGACAAAGTTAGCAACTGTCCCAGGCGTGAAGTTGTGTGTCTCTTGCTCAATAGCCCCCATGATATGTGCCACTGGTGTCATGAATGGTGTCAGAAGCCGGCTCTGAACGGGTTAGTGCATGGAATCTGGAGGGCCCAGGGACATAAGTGACTTCAGTCTGTGCATCGCTTTGAATGTTTTCCTGTAAAATGATACAGTGCAGGGAAAAAACAATGGGAACTTTCCCCCTGGGACTAGAGAAAGATGAAAAATACAGAAAGTTGTAAAGACTGAATATTTGCCACTTACTTTCAGAAAAATGCCCACAACAGCCACACCATCAGGTTGTTTCAAAGCTCCAACAAAATTGCCATGTTTTGGATTCCAGTGCACCATATGTAACTAAAAATCAATGAAACCTCAGTTATAAATGCATAAAATTGCCAACAGCGCAGTCTTACAACCTTTTGCATTAAATTTTAAACAGTTTCCAGTACACAGTAAGTAAAGGAATGGACATGAGGAATAAAACTATATGCAAGTATTTCCTATTCCTGTTCCCATGCTTCCATGCACTCACACTTTCTATAAGCATCACTTTGCATTTAATTGAAGCATAGAAGAAGGAAAATGGAGTTTACCACACAATACCTTTAAAAATTAATCAAGACAATTCAACTATAAGCAGTTTAACCCAAGCACATGACATGCACACATGCAGTGCCTAAAACACCTACTGACATGCACTTCATCGCAAGTAGAGCTTTAGATCTCCATGTCATGCAGATAACAGCTCAAAGATTTACATAGGGTTGTATGCAGTACATATGTTATTGTTTTGGATCTCTTACTACTCTCGGTACATGGTACTTGAAAGGAGTGGAGACAATAACCTGACATTTCTTTCTCATCTCTACTTTCAACAGTGCTATTTTCAGGTTATATTTCAAGCTTTTACATCTCCTTCTAGAAAATCTCTGGCTCCTGCATATAGCTACAAATGCTGCAGCCAGCAGTGTGGAATCTCAAAGTCAGTAGTGTCTGGAACATAGCACCATAAAAAAAAAAAAAAAAGTCTGGAGCATATTTTGAATGCAAATTTTTGACTGTTTTTTAAACACAGTAACAATTATTTAAAATAACAACAAAATAATTTGCCCTGAATATAAATTAATGTATTGCTCTCTGTTTTTTTCCTCTTGAGAATAAGGATATCATTGCTAAGGATAAAGGTGGGGCTGCTATATATCTTTGGTTGCATTCTAGCAAAATTTCATACATTCCAGGCTTTCTTCTCCTGTCAATAAATATTTGAGTACTGCAAACAAAAGTGAAGTAAAAAGTCTGCGCTTGAACTAGCCAAGAAATAGCTTGAGGAAAGCAGAATTTGTCTATTTAGTTGGCCACAGAAAGTAGAACACTAACACAGTTAGTGGCTAAGGAATGGGGAAAAAAACCCCAAACCCTCACCCACAGTCATCTCTGCAATGTTTGTGCACACTGCAAAATATCTTCCCAAATTTTCTCCTACGATAGGTGGGCAAAGCCCCTGTAAGCTCTGCACTTTGAGGGTATAGGTGGACGGCAGGAAAACACTAATGCAGACTTTTTGTGGGCACAGGCATATGTTTTGAGCCTATTCTCAAATAAGATGGAGGAAGGAGGTAACATTTGCTAGTACTTCACTAGCACCAATAGTGAATTCACTTATATTTATTACCTGAGTAAGTCTTCAGGGCCTAGAGCAGCTATTAGCTTTAGCAAATTTGGACAACAATAGTGCAGTAGTTTACATTAAAAAAACCCTGCAAGCATCTGTTTTCCACAGTTCCCAAAAATAAACACAGAAATTTTAAAGCACAGATGTTCAGAAACTAAAAGTACTCTTTACCACTCTGAATCAGTTTTAAGGTGGAACACATTTTGAATGTCAGTTTATCAAATGTGCTTTTAGCAAGTTTTTCTATTCATTAGCAATGCTTTCTGAATCTAACTTAGTAATTCAAGCTATACCAGAAATGGCTAAAAGCCAAAAAACATCAGCAGAAAACAGGTCTTCCTATTTGGAAATAACAGATCACTTTGTCTCAAATATTTTTAAAACATTCTAAAATACCAGCAAAAACTCATGCTTGAAGAAGCGAATTCCATGTCGGTATATACTTGCAAAGATACATTGTTGGCAGATGCAATATATCTCATTGCACGCTGATGAATATTCACAAGCTTCATAGGCAGATTTTAAAAATCCATAGCTAAATATTTGCAAATGGGAGAATGGTTAATCTGTTCGGATGCACAGTCAAATTCCAGTTAGTACTGAATACTACTATTAAAAATAAGTCCTACCTCTGCTGCGTATTTCACCCCATCTATAATATGCTCAGAGCCATGGTCATCAGAGGAACCCCAATGCAAGTGAAGCTGACGCAGCCTGTAGGCTCCCGTGAGCGGCCCACCTCTCAGCACTGCAATTGATAATCTACATCAACACCAGAACGCTGATGTACACGTCTGCTGAACGGGGACCCACACTTTGAAAGTATGGAGCGCCTCTTGTAAATCCAGCTGGTTGCTGTGGGGGTCACAACACTCACCCGTTTACAAGATTGGGGCTGAATTCTGTTATCCCTCGGGAAGAGTCCTGTTTGATGGGAACACCGTGGAAGCTGCTGTGAGTCAAGCACGGAATCAAAACCCCAGAAGCCCAACAAGCCCCTTTCTCTTGGCAAGTGGACACACTACAGTTCCTGATGTGGAGAGAGAAGGAAGGTGTTCACAGCTGATGCTTGCCAAGAAATGGTCTGTTGTGAAATGGCTGGGGGTAGGACCATGAAATTAACTCAAAGGTGCTTTGAAGTGTACCTCTGGGCCATGACCAGCATACTTTTCACAGTTCAGGCAACTGAACAATCGTTACAGCAAAGTTTGCTGCTTCTTAAAAAAACCCATCTATTTCTTGAAAGTGAGGAAAGAGAAGCAAGTTTAGGCCAAAAGAGTTAGAAAAGTGTTCTTGAGCAAGGAAAATCTATAGTCCACATTTAACATTGCCACCAATGAAACAAATTAAGAAGCTATGACTTCTGCTGTTCTTAGCCAAATAATGCTGACCACGCATCAGTCTGACAGCTTACATCAGCCCTGACTTTCAAAACATCACACCTGCTCTTTCAGTTTGGGGATTCTTTTGAGCAGGGACTGCTTAGAGGATAAGCTCTCAAATATATTTTTCATTCATTACCTAAGGCAGGAATGAGACGTGTTTCCTTACACAGAAAGCTGATAATGCAGTGCCAGAAGACCTTGTTTAAATAGCATTCAAGTTTGAACTTCTACCAATAGCTTTGAAGTTCAAAGTTAACATTGAAATAATATTTAAATCCTCTTGTGCCCAATGGTCTCAAATTAATTCTTGATATCATATGTGTTGGAATACCTACACACAGCAAGAGGTTTAACTTTGCAGTTTCTCTTTTTAGTTGGTAGGTGTCTCAGCAATTGAGGGTAGAGGGGGGCAGAAACAAAGCAGTGTGTTGAGTTCTAGGCAGGCAGTTCCTCTTTTTCTTTGAGTTTGTTCATACACAAACAAATTATCATAACTAACTCAATACAGTATTAAGTCTTCTGTAGAAGCCTTTAATGGAAAATATATGTGACATAATAATAATAGTAATAATGATTATTGTTTCACTTTTGAATGTAGGGGAAATAAGACATAGACTCTTAAGTCCCAAATCCTCACAAGTATTTGCTTGCCATTTCACACTGGAATCAATGGGAGGAAGGAACTTCCAGGAGCTGGAAACTCATTTAGCTGTTGTTTCTTACAAGTGGCCATTTCCAGAGCTCGAATATTGTGAAGCACTTGGAAACAGCACTTCATAATGGCATGCAGATCTCTCTAGCATAAAAATAAATCTTTTTAACATTCAAAATTTTACATGTGATTAGATAAAAAAAGGCTATCTTCAAGCTAGATTTCTGTTTCCAGCTATAATCGGATCTGTGACTACTACTTACTCTCAGCTGCCACCACAGAAGCCAACAAATGAAGGTAATGATTATGAAATGCTTTCTCATGTTGTTTTTCAGAGTGTCAAACACTGTATCTGATTCCAGACACATCTCTATGAAAGGCTTCAACCTAAACTACTGTCCAGCAGCCTGCAGAAAGTTAGTAACGGGGGCAGGGAGTGAATGTACAGACTGGATGTCCAGAGGAACAAGAGATGACGGGGAGGTCGGAGAAGCAGGGAGGCAACGGAGGGAAGATGATGCAGAAGAAGGGCTGCACCAAGGGCTGCACTCTGCTTGGCCAAATCAGGGTCTTTCTCCAATACAGTTCTCTAGGCAGACACATTCTTGAGCACCCTCTGTCTAAACCTTTCAGCCTTTAGGAAGCTGCAAAGACAGAGCAGAACCATCATGTGAAAAGGTTCATAATCAATTTACTTCCCATGCTTTGAGTTGTGGCATTGATTTTGTGCTTGTGGAAGAGCATTCTGTGTCATAGCAAAAGTGCAATTTATGGTTTGTCTGAGGCCACTGTGTAGAAACTGCGGTAATAAATACTAAAGCACCATACAAATACATAACAAAGATGGTCCCTGTCCTAAATGGCTTAGAGTCCATCTGCGAGATGTGAAACACGAACTGGTAGCTGTAATGGTAAACGAAGGAGACCAAGGAAACAACGAGCTCATCAAGATAAACATGATAGTGATGTTTTGATGTACCACAGATATATTTCGTTATATAGCTTACTAAAAACAAAAACCCAATACAAGTACCATCAAAGCAGGTGCAGAAAAATACAGTGGAAAGTAACTCTCTTTTCCATTAATTAGACTGCTTTAATTCTTGATAAAGGACTGATCAATACTGTATGCTCTCAAGATGTCTTCGCATTATATGGTATTGTGAATTTATTATTCCTTTTGACTGTTGTTGCCTGTCTGCATTCAGAGCTACACACTGATACAGCTCTCGAATCAAGTTTTGAACAATTTAACTTAGAGATTAGAGACTGCTCTCTATGTAATAGCAAAGCCATTTCATAGCTTTCCAGAAGCTATGAAATGCTATTGTCAGAAATGCTATTTTCATAGCTTTTTCAGGCTGTGGAGGCTCTTAAAGACTTCCCATACAAACAGGAGAAATCAAGATCACAGTTGGTGGAAACACAAAAGTTTTGTGTTCACGAAGTGCCTCAGAGCATGCACTCTCTCCCCCGACACAAAACCTGAGGGTGTGACGTCTGCATCCAAGGAGGTGACTTGGGGAAGAGAAGTCCACCTTCCAGCTGAGCCTGTGTCTCAGGGGTGCCCCTGCAGCTGCAACCTGTCCCACCTATGCTGGACCTGGCTGGATCCAGCAGAACAAAATCCGGGAGCACCTTTTTTACGTACCAAAATGACTTTTCTCTGCCAGCCTCCATAGGCCAGGTACCGCAGGACTCGCTTTGCTTCCCAGTGCTTCGCAAACATCGATTCCCAACAACCCCCACGCACCAAACCAAAAACCGACCTGATCGATCGAAAGTGTCGTCGAAGACGACTCGGCAGGTGCGCCCGTTGTTCAGGATGGTTTTCGCGGCCCCGGGATCGTAGCTGGCATGCCAAGAGGAGAGAGACGTGTCGTGCCGCACGTCTTTGCTGTTGATCTCAATGGGCGACTGCTTCTCTCCCTTGGCCATGGGGTAGTTCTCATGCCAGCGCTCGGGTCCTGAGGGGGGGAAAGGCAAGGAAACGTCGTTCCGGCTCACCCCCGGCCGGCCCGGCGGCCCCTCGCCCCC